TGGAAATAGAGGTTTCAGTTTTGTTGTGAAAATGAGCTGTGGATTGTCAATGAGAAGGAAACATTGTTTTTCACTGCAAAAACCTTTTGTGACAATTGATTTCTTTGTTCTGGTACATGTGACATTACTTTCTTGTGATATCTACTTTGAATTATTAGTAGTTGGTACATAAACATTTTGGTTGATTCACACAAAAAATAATATAGTATGAGTTTGTTCTCTTTAATTTTTTTAATTATTTGTTTTTATTGGAATCATATTAGAAATATTTTTACATATAACTACAATCATATTAGTATTTAAGTGACTCTAATTAGTTAAAGAGAATAAGCCCAAAGTTATGAATAATGTAATTTATTTATGGCACACTGGCCACTCTATTGTCTTGTCATGGATATGACTTATGAGAGTTTTTTTCTCTTGCAGTTATTGTTTTCACAATTATTATTTTATATGCAATGAGAATATAATATTTTCTAATTATGATGCATCATATTGATGAGAACATTGTTAAGATATGTCAAATGAAATAAAAGTGACTCAAACTAAATTTGAACAATTTACAAATGCCATAATATAATTAAAAGGCATGAATCCGTTTTTTAGAACTCTCCAAATGAAATCCACATTAAAGAGATGAGTAATTTGACAAAAGTGTACACAATTATCCACCATTAAAAATATATATAATGATGTTTGAGAGGTGTCAACTTTGAGTTATTATTGCATTCTTATTGGCAGGAGTCAAAACTCAAATTGAAGAAGAAAAAAAATGCACCAGCCGGGAATCGAACCCGGGTCTGTACCGTGGCAGGGTACTATTCTACCACTAGACCACTGGTGCTTGACGACCCATGAATAGAAATTTACATAATAACTCTTTAATACTCTCGCGTCAACCTTAAACCAGTGACCAATTTAACACCGGCATTATTAACATATTTTATAAACACACACACTATAAATCATCATCGCTATTAGATATAGTAATTTGATCATATTACATTTTGATTATGACATCATGCATAAAATGAAGATCAATTTTTTGTCTCGATATAGATTGTGAGTGAAACTGTCAGTGTCAGTTTCATTATGCATGATTAATTGGAGCTTCTTTTGTACAACTTGATTCATTGGATTTTGGTTTGGTTGGTTTGGTTTGTGCTTACAAAAAATTATTTTTTTATAGAAAAATGAACCAAATAACATACAAAATTTTCATTCTTTCAACCAAATACCTGAAAAAGTATTTTTGAATTATAACTTACTTTCCAAACTTTATTTTTCCAAAATCATTTTCGTTCTTTTTTTTCAAATGGACCATAAGATATGTCTTACACTACTATGTCAACTATCAAGAATCTACTCAACTAATACAAACATAAACTCATAATTGACTTATAAAAGCCACTTTTAAAACCTTCTAATTTGATTGAATCTGATCGGATCGAGGAGCCAAAAATGACATAATGCAAAATTTTTACTCTGTAATGTTTATTTTGACCAAATATTTTACCACGTATCACATTTCTTACAGTTACCATACATGAATGCTGCAACTAGTTTACGTGGGAGTATTCACCCTAGTTTGACTCTTGTGAGCCTTGACTCTTGACAACACTTCATGTTATAATTTAATACACAATTTTTTAACAAGTTTGTTAGCAATGTCCATCTTATATATTCAAAGGTAAAAAGGGTTAATAATGGAAAAATATTTCCTCCACTAAAATTCATTAGCCAGCTTTTTCAAAATATCTGCATTATAAAGAATTGCATAGTATGAAGTATATATATTTTTATCACTAATAACGTACTACAGAGTTGAAACTAATTATATTAATTTTTTCAATAATGACAAAAATGTTTTTTTAACAATTAACAATAATGACATCATACTATTAAGTAAATTTCTAGTGAATATGATAAGTAAACAATCAATTTTGGATGATCGGGAAAAATGAAGGACCCAAGCCATGTTCTATTGAGATAGAAACTCAGAGTTACATTTTAGAAGAAAATAGAAATAATTGGAAGAAACTAGAATGAATTCGAAGAGAAACGCTGATCTTGTCCTCCCAGCAGCGGGGGTCTTTTCATCTCATTGTAAATGCTGAGTATAATTTTACTTTAAAAGGGGTTCAATTTATATAGCTAGTAAAGAACACAAAACTTTGATTGGAATTGTGGAAAAACTCATTAATTCCTTATACGTAAAAAACAATCACTTACGTGTAGGTACTTCGTATTATATATATATATATATATATATATATATATATATATATATATATATATATATATATATATATATATT